TTCTTATATATAATTTGCTGTATTTTATAATGGGCCCTTTATAATGGCCTTTTATAAAATTGGTTCGGCCGTCGAACGCAGATCTGATTTTCCATGTGGCCCCCGACAGAAATTAATTGCCCACCCTTGAATTAATAGTACAACTGAGTTGGGGAACCAAACATATCCCCAACTATGGTAAACTTCTGAATTGCCATTGGCTGGAATGTTTTACTCTGGTTCCATTTCCATGCTGTTTCCATTCTATTCAACCTTCCCATGAAAATGCTGGAGGAGGGGGAGGACTCCCATCTGGTGAGCTAGTGTCACACAATGTCAGAACGCTGATACCATCAAACATGATTGCTCGTAATCCTTCAGTTCCAAGGAAAAAGTTCACCAAGACAATCTGGGCACTAGAACACTGGTTACCTATAAGCTTGTGGGTATAATTCAAGACGCATTGTGCCTTTCTGTTCTTATGAGTACTTAAGATGGCTATCAAAATTTAAGAATAGAATAAAGAAAGCTAAAAAAAAAGAGTTTAAAATAAATACTAAAAAAATTCAACAGTTAAAAGCCAGGCATTAAATATGTCTTCATCATAGCAAATAATGAGACACCAAATGCATAATTATAAAAGGCAGGAGGAAGGAAAGCATTTCTGTACTTACAATTATGTGAACACTGTGGAATTATCATCGCAGTGTTGAAGTAATCAAAGCATATCCCACAACGCAACAAGTTATCAACTTCCTGAAATACATTTTAAAAATTACAGTATTTAAAACAGAGTAAGCTGAAAAGTCATTTTGCAAAAGTACTTTCTGGGGAAAAAAAAAACAACTAAATGTAATTCCTATTCCTTGTTCTACTTCTACCCATTTCCCAATGATTACAGTCAACACTGGGAGTATGGGAGTGTGGTTTAATAATATCGATAGAGCATTATGCTGCTTAAATAACTTAAATACGTGAACTATTTAAGTTAATTTAAGAACATGTCCAAGGAGTTAAATGCACAGCTAAGAATGAAAAAAACAACATGGTTATTCTACTTCTTTATACCAGCACCCTAGAAATTCCACTTGCGACCTGAAATCATATCAATAACAGGGAGAACCTGTTTTTAACGGCTTGATTTTCTTCTTCTAATCCAGAGGTTCTCAGCCTGTGGTCCACAGATCTTGGGGGGAGGGGGGGACAAAATCATCACAGGGGGTCCGCAAAGGCTTAGAGAAATGTTATGATTTAAATCACAAGTCTTGGCGGTCCGTGACCACAAAAGCTATTTAAAAAGGGTCCATGGTAAAGAAAAGATTAAGAACCCGTTCTGATCCAGCTCCCTGAACATGACAAACCCTCCCAAGTTAAAGATTCCTTTAGTAAGAATACCGGCAGCCCCAGAGAAAAGCCCCAGAGAAAAACCTTCTCTCTCACCACATGCTAACAAGTCCGGCCGGCTGGAAGATGAATAGTTGTTTGCCACATCTATTAATCTCCACCCCCTGCCTTTTATCCCCAGAGCTAGGGTGGGGCTTCGCTAGCAGCAGTGGCTCTTCCTTCCCAAGGATCTGTCCACAGATTTCCACTGCTCTCCTCTCCTCTGCCTTCTGCACATCCAGGTGTTAGGCACTAGACTCAGCTGTTCCTCCTCTTCCTCATCAGCCACCTCCGGAGCTAGGGGCTGTTGATTCTCCATCTGAGGGCTGATGGATGGCCCAGGATCTACCTCTGTCTCTCTCTCTCTCTCTCTCTCTCTGCCAGCTCCATTCCTTCTTCCCGCTCCAAGATCTCAGGTTGCCTTGATGCTGACCCTGTGAGCTCAGTGTGATCAAACCAATCTCTTCCAGCATTTTGCAATACTCCAAAATTTTAAAAATGAGATAATGAAATCTTATAGCTGATCTAATAGATTTTGAACTAATTCAGTGTCACCATACGAAGATACCATCAATTTTCTCAGTCCCAGACATCTAAAGTATGAAGTTGGTGCAGTGTAAAGGTTCTCAAGAGTATCTAAATTTAACATTTATTTATGACATTCAAACTGATACTCTTAGCAATAAAGCGAATCTCTTTACAGATATTTTCATCTCATTGTCATTATGAATCTTAGTATGCTTATCTCTAACACCAACAGTTTTAGAAGATATAGTGGGAAGGTCTTTAATGAGATTGGACTTCTCAACCATCCAAGAGCCTTTACCTACTCTTATATTTGCACAAGGATATTAAGCCCAGCAGGCCATGCAGCTTCAGAGATAGAAATGGAAGTGTAATCAGTGTCTTTTGTTTCACCTTGCATGTTGGAAGCAACCTGCATACGGTCAATATGCTAAACCTAGAACTGACACACATTCAATCAGCCAAACAAACATAATTAAATGACCTGTCAGCTAAACAACTATTTATTTATATTTGTATAGCTGTCCATGTCAGACCAGTGACTCTTATTTGATCAAACATCAACTAATATTTCAAGAATGTTGTTATTCAGAAGCATGGCATGGTTTCCTAAATTGAAAGTAGCTTGCTTCTTAGAACTACAGAATTCCAGACAGATTTATCACATTTTTCCCACCAACTACATGGCCTCTGACACCAATCACCTCTAATAAGGAGCACGAATAATTATCTGTGGGAAAATGGCATTGCTTAGTCTATAGTGTATTTTGACTAAGATTTGGGAGAATTAGAAGCTGCTTTATAGTATCAGTTGTCTACTACAGAAATACACAAGCTGTGCCCCTAATACTCTAAAAACATGATCCACCCCCTGAATCATTAAAAATGGTGCCAATTGGAGTTTTATATGTGATTAAAGGAAAAAATATTTAAAACATCAGAAATATGTATTTTAACTCATTTAATGAATTCACTTGTAATAGTATGCAAAATTCTATGTCCAACAGAGCAGTGCAAAGCATTTGAAAAAAAATGTTCAAGAGTATGAACCAAACACTTCTCTTTGAACTATTCATATGCTATATTTTTTGCAAAGCTTGCACAAATGCTCTAAAAACTGTTCCCACCTCTATCTGTATGCAAAAGATATGAACCAGCTGCCTTAAAAAGTTATATTATGTCAGAGGTCTAACTGCAAATGTAACAGGGAAGGAAATGTATTGTCCAATACAGCTTGACCCGATTTGATCACAAGACTATCTACAATGACTGTAAGCCACACTCCAAGGTTTCAGACAGAAGGCTTTCTGAACCCTGTCAGTAAATGCTACAAAGACATCATGAAGATGAGCAAATGAGATTAACTATTTTATTACATATTTAGCATTATTAGATTGCATGGCTATTAATACTTTCAACATTCCTTCATAATTGCTAGAATTATATGTATCTATCAATCACAAAATGTACTAATAGCAACCACAATTCATCCACATACAAAAAGGCAGTGTCAAAGGACAAATTAGATCTCCAGACAGCTGCAAAAGTACAAAATATTTTTTTGAAATAACACCTGAAGGCAACCATCCTTCCAAAATACTTCAATAAAAAAGCAGGGAGAATGGAGATCCAGAATGGAATAAAAAAACTCAGCAGCTATGCCGATTTCTTGAACAGGGTAATCATGTGACACAAAAATAAATTTCATAATCTATTCAAACTGCAGGACTACTTTCAGGCTGCAGATGCAATCAATTTTCTTTCATTTTGTTATGACATTGACAAAACAAATTAAATGTTTGTATTTAGGGTTTTAATTCTTGCTTTGATGCCTAATAAATCCTCCTTTTATATTTTAAACTATTTGCTGCTTCTGTTTTGACTTGATACAGGTTTCATTTACATGTTATGGTATCACACCCCCACAACTCTTCACTGTTTTTCTTTATGTAAATCACATTATGTAACTACAGTTAATATTTTACTAAGGAGTACTAGAAGAACTAAAAAGCTGAGATGCCAAAAATTACTCTTGTGATTGTTCAGCACTTGGGATGAGATCATGGGAGGGGAGGTTGGTAATATTAACTGTAGTCTAGTCTGGAAAAATGCAAAGCCAACCACTTCCAGAATATTTTAAAGTAATATTTCTTTAAGAAGATACCACAACTCAGGAGCAAATTGCAAGATTTTTGCCTTTTCCAATCATTATTCACTGAAAATAAAAGCCTGCCAGACTTTCGGAAAAGACACTAATTCAGCAATACATCCAGGCGGGAATAGTTAGTGAAGATGCTGGAACTTGCTGAGGTGGCCAAATTGACTTCTTTGATGAGAGAAGAGAGAATATTTACTTTTATTGCTGACTGGAAACCTCTTTTGGCATAAAGCAGAAACAAAATGAAGTTATGGTTTTGATGATTAGACAAGACTATAAAAAAGAGTGTTACTTTGGGGAAAGAGGTAAATTTATAATTGTACTTATAGTCACTGCAGAGAAGATCAGAAGCCACTTCTGTATATCTTTTTTTTCTTCTAATTTTTTCTTTTTTTCTTTTTTTTCTTTATTGCACTTTTAGCTTTTCCTTTGGTTTTGTTCTTTTTCCTTCCTTCCTTTATATTAGTTTGCAATAGTTTTTAATTTTCTTTCTTGAAACTGTTAACGGAAGCGACGCCGAGGTTCTATCTTAGCTCTTTCGCAGAAGGAAAAGGCGTGTTGTACACATTCCCAAGCACTTTTCTCGTTCAACCACCATCGCTTCCAGGATCAGGGACACCCTCCGTACAGGTTAAGGCCCTAATTCACGCCATTAACGCAGCCAGCGCCTTAAGTCGGGCTCCCTTCCGCCTCTACTTACTTTCAGCGGGAGAAGGTGCTTGGGCCACCGCAATTCAGTCACCGGGAAAGACATCACGTTCAGCTAGAATTACCCAAACTTTTATTTCTCCCGCCCCGCCGGACTCGAAATTACCCGCGCGTTCCTTCTTTCAGCGTCCTGGAGGAGCGTGCGGCAGGAGAACATTTCCGGGACTCTCGCTGAGGCTGTTGGGTATCGTAGTTTTTCTTTTCCTTTCCCGGTCATATAATAACACGATATGACAATTATGGTTAATGTCCTCACTGTTAGGAAGTTTCTCCAGGTTGCTCCTCTCCTTGATTAGTTTCCGTCCCTTGTTTCTTGTCCTGCCCTCTGGTGCTTTGGAACGTAAGTTAACCATCTCCTCTTTGTGGCAGCCTCTCAAATACTGGAATACTGCTGTCATGTCCCCCACTAGTCCTTCTTTTCTCTAGACTAGCCAAATCCTCCAAACGCTCTTCATATGTTTTAGTCTCCAAGGTCTTTAATCATCCTAGTTGCTCTTCTCTGCACTCTTTCTAAGATTACTTATTAGACTTCTGGGAGTGGTATTTACTATTACAGTATGATTATAGCAGCTCTTTCCTTGTACTTTTAGAGTAAATTGATAAAAAGGACTTAGTTTGGATATCATAATTGCTGCACATTCTGGGCCCCTTGGATGTGCGTAAAGAAGGTATTGCTGAGATTCACAAGGCAATTAGAAACAACTGAGATTAAGAACGACCACAGAGAAGAAAATAGGCACTTACTTAATTCTGACATGCTTAACCCACATATCATTAATTATGCTGAATATAGTTGATGGCCGTTGACATTTGACATCAACTGTTCTAGCTTCTAGAACTAATTTGCTCCTTCAATGCTTACTCATTCCATATATTATAGTGAATTCAGCTGATAATAACTTCTGGGAAAACTATAAAAAAAGTTTTGGAAGTTTGGAAGTTACTCCTTTTGTTTCTTTGCCATCATATGGAAACTGGGAGCCTTGGTTTGGTCTTAATTAATCCAAAGTCAGAGCACATCTTGGCATCAACTCTATCCTTTTGTTGAAGGAAACAGATGAAATTGATATTAATAATTTACAGTATCGTGGAATTACAAATTTCAAAGTCATGTCTGATAAACCAATAGAGTGTTGCACTAAATAATATGAAATTGATTTCCTATGATTTCAAAATAAGAGCAATACAACAAAAAATGTTGTTTCATATATACTGGATATCTTAAGAGAATGCTCAATAAGGGTTGATTAAGGACATCATGGAAATGTAATTTGTGTTGTTTGCCCCATATTGATGCATTTTGTACTGACATCAATAGAACCATGAAACAATTACTATATGTCAAATATGTCTTTGTTCTTCCTATCTGAACCCCTGGATTTGGAATCAAGATATCAGAACTTGTAGGGTTTTCAGAAATAGAAGTGGGTGGAAAGAATTATTATACAACACTAGAAGGAGAAAACTATGCCTCATTTGCAACATGGATTGTTGATAAATACTATCTGCAACATTTGATTTAGTCCTTTATTTGATAGGTTCAGATAAGAAAACTTTACTTTCTTGATGGATCTCCCATCTTTTGTCCAGGAGCTCAGAAGGACACACATAATGCTCCCATAATGTTACGACTGCAACAATTTGGCCAGACATGCTGGGCTGAAAAAGAATGATTTGTCCTAAGTCAACCAGCAAGTTTCGGGGGCTGAGGATAGATTTGATCCTGAGTTTCCCCAAAGCAAACCCAACACCTTAACCGTCATATTGCATTGACTCTCACTATACCTCATTGACTGACTAATGTATAAGACAAACTAAAAGCTTCAATTATTTCAGAAGAGAGCAGAAACTGGTTTCTGGGAATGCATTTCTAAATGTATCACTCTACTATAAACATCCCATCATCCACAAATCCACTGGTGTATGCATAAACAGACAACCCCAAGGAAATCCTTCAGATACATTGGGAATTATTTGCAAATCCCAGAACTCCCTATCAGATTTGAGATTTGTATCCTTCTATATTACTATAAAAATATTTGGGGAGGGGGTGGGAATGTCAGAAACATCTTTGACTTTTGACAATAACAATAATGCTAGTTCCAACTAGGTATCTCTTTTCAAACTCTAACATCTAGTTACCTATAAGCACTCAGCAGTATGCTTAGTGACAAATTGCCTCAAACCTACACCAATTGAGAAAACATATCCTCTCACTGCCATTACCCCACCTAGGATCAGGAGAGAAATAGCAGCAGATGCCAAGAGAACCAAACAAGAGAATGATCCCCTACATCATTGGTTCCCAAAGTGGGTGGTACCGCCCCCTGGGGGGCGGTGGGATGCCTTAAGAGGGCTCTAAGAGGGAAGGGGGCTGGCAGGGGGGTGCTAAGAGGCAGCAGGGGGGCATTCGAGGTGCCGGCCCTGCAGGTTCACTCATTGACTGTAGCACCGCTCCAGAGTCGGTGCCTCCAATGTGGAAGCGGTGGCACCTTACATGCTGCCACAGCTGTGTTCAATGAGCCATGCCCCTGCCGCCTCTTAGTGCCCCTCTGCTGGCCCCCTTGGGGATGCTAAGAGGCGGCAGGGGGGCATTTGAAGTGCCGGCCATGCAGGTTCACCCATTGACTGTAGCACCGCTCTGGAGCCGGCGCCTCCAATGCGGAAGCAGTGGCACGTTATATGCCACCGCGGCAGCGTTCAATGCACCATCCCTCTGCCACCTCTTAGTGTCCCCAAGGGGGCTCGCAGAGGGGTGCTAAGAGGCGGCAGGGGGGCATTCGAGGCACCAGACGGCCCTGCAGGTTCACCCATTGAGGCACCAGCTCCGGAGCGGTGCTACAGTCAATGGGTGAACCTGCAGGGCCGGCACCTCGAAAGCCCCCCAGCCACCTCTTAGCATCCCCAAAGGGGCCAGCAGAAGGGCACTAAGAGGTGGCAGGGGGGCAGCACTTCGAATGCGGCCGTGGCAGCATGTAACATGCCACCGCTTCCACATTGGAGGCACCGGCTCCGGAGTGGTGCTAGTCAATGGGTGAAACTGCAGGGCCGGCCAGCGCCTCGAATGCCCCCTGCCACCTCTTACCCCTCCTCTGCCGGCCCCCTTGGGGACACTAAGAGGTGGCGGGGGCGTTTGAGGCGCCAGCCCTGCAGGTTCACCCATTGACTGTAGTAATGCTCCAGAACCGGTGCTTCGAATGTGGCAGCACGTTGGGAAAAGCCACTGCCACCACTTTCCCAAAGTGCCGCCGCTGTCGCATTCTGTCTGTCTGTCCGTCCATTCATCCATCCATCCAAAAGGTCTGTCTGTTTGCCTGCCTGCCTTCCTGCCTACCTACCTTGCCTGCCTGCTTGTCTGTCTGTATCTCTCTCTCTCTCTTTTTCTCTCTCTTTCTCTCTCTCTCTCCATCCATCCATGTTCAAAGCACTGGCCCCGCAGGCATATCGGGAAAGTAGATTAGTGGTTCCCAAACTTTTTTGGTCCACTGCCCCCCACCCAGGGGTGGGATTCAAATTTCTGTGGGTGTGGTCTAATTTGAGGGTGTGATTTGCTGGTCACATGACTTGCTGGTCATGGCTCGCTGGTCGTGACTGGGTGGGCGTGGCCAGGTGACTGGCAAACCAAATACAAGTGGTCCTCATTTTATGACCGATTGTTTAGCAAGTGTTCTAATTTATAACTGGCCTCCCCAGAGCTATTGACCAGTTTTTGGAGTTTTGACAGCTTTAGATCAGGGGTCTAAATCCCATCCCTGCCTGTGTGTGAGAGAGAGAGAGAGGGAGAGAGAGGGGTAGGATCAGATCTATCTCTCTCTCTTTCTCCCACCAATGCCAGAAAGCCACCGGCAGTCAAAATTCATATTAGTGGTCTTCAGGATTTAAAATTATGAGTTTGGTGGTCCCTGAGGTCCAAAGGTTTGGCGACCCCTGATCCAAAGGGATGAGCCTGAGAGAGGGAAAGAAGAGATAGAAAAGAGAGAAAGAGAGGAAGAAAATAAAGAGAAAAGGGAAAGAAAGAAAAAGGGACAAAGAAAGAGGGTGGGTGGAAGGAAGGGACAGAAAGAAAAAGAAATAAAGAAGGAGGGAGGGAGGGAGGAGAAAGATAATGTTACACATCCCAACCCAAGAGGGTTGAAACTGGTAAAGAGCTGCAGGGATTCGGCCCATGCAGTTGCCCGAGGTATGTATGTATGTATGTATGTATGTATTTATTTATTTATTTATTTATTATTTAGTCAAGCAATTATAAGATTACAAGTATAAATATAGACATAGTTATGAGTATATGAAATGGATACATACAAGAAAAATAAAAAGAAACAATAGGACAGGGATGGTAGGCACATTGGTGCGCTTATGCACGCCCCTTACAGACCTCTTAGGAAGGGGTGAGGTCAATAGTAGACAGTCTAAGGTTAAAGTTTTGGGGTTTGGAGAAAAAAAACACAGAGTCAGGTAGAGTATTCCAGACATTGACCACTCTGTTGCTGAAGTCATATTTCCTGCAATCAAGTTTGGTGCGATTAACCTTGAGTTTGTATCTATTGTGTGCTCTTGTGTTGTTATGGTTGAAGCTGAAGTATTCATTGACAGATAAGTCATTGCAATGCATGGTTTTATATACTATACTTAGATTGGACCGAAGGTGGCATAGTTCTAGGTTTTCTAGGTCTAGAATTTCAAGTCTGATGGCATAAGGTATTCTACAACGAGTAGAGGAGTGCAGAACTCTTCTTGTGAAATATTTCTGGACTCTCTCAACCGTATTAATATCAGATACGTAATGCGGGGCCATGCCTACCCAGTGCCCCCCGCAAGGTCAACCACAGCCCTGTTCAGCCCTCAATGAAATTCAGTTTGACACCCCTGTTCTATAGTCAGTTAAAGGCAGATGCTTCAATCCCATCAATATTCCACCTCTCATTAACAGGAGACAATGGCTATTTCCAGCACTGCTGCCCCCTCATAAAATCTTGTTTTCTCCAACAATAAAAATAGTTGCCTAGACTAAAAACAATCCAGTTTCCTTCCTGTGGTCCCAAGATAGCAAACTGGAGCCTAGAATTTCCCACTCTGCACTCCAAAACTCCTACAAAAGATCTTACCTTTCTATGATGTCTTATCTTTATAAATAATTGTTGCTTCAACAAAA